ACACACACACAGAGAGAGAGAGAGAGAGAGAGAGAGAGAGAGAGAGAGAGAGAGAGAGAGAGAGAGAGAATAGTCAAATAAGGGTCTTCTAAAAAATTCTATAGTGCAATATTCTTGGCCTTCTAGTGCCCTCTCCTGGTGGGGAATAAAAGTTTTTGATCTCTTAGGCATACTCACCCATTATTATTGTGAGGATACAGATCTAACCCTAACCCTTCCCTTAGAGCAATGACAGCACTAACAACAGCAGAAATCGTGTCTGTGGCATTAGCATTGTGCTAGCAGACCTTTGTGTACATGACCTTGTTCACTTCTTCCAGCAAGCTTTGTAAAAATCGTTTAAAATTCCACTTTTTAAATTAGGCCAAGACTCTGAGATTAAGTATATAGAGTTACAGGCCTATGGGAGCCTATGGGAGCCAACCAGCATGGGTGCTGGGATCCAAACTCTACTTCTCATGTTTGAGTAGCAAGTGCTATTAATTTTGAGCCCTCTCTCCAGCCCCAAGGTTAAATACCTTCATGTAGGTTACATCTAGAAAGAGACATGAGGTCAGGATTCAAACTCAGACTTCACTGCTATCCTGCTAGACTGCTTCCGGGTCTTCATTATCTGGCACATGTGTAAGCATGGGATGTTTCTGAAGTTGAATGGAGAAACTCTAGACATACTTTAACTGTGTAGAGTACATGTACATGTATGTAATGAAACAACTCATCTCTAATTGGTAATTTTATGAATGACTGCTCTCCTCTCTTGTAGTTCCTGATTTACGCCAGTTACTTTGCAGCCATCTCCGTGGTTTTCCTGGCTAACGGTGCATTTGGTGTTATAAAGAAATGCAGAAAGAAGGAAGATCCCAACCCCAGCCCTCAAGCAACCACTTCCTAGCCTGCTGCTCAAGTGCTGCTGCTTCCACGCCAGGACTCTGCCCAGCAACTGCCTGGATGGATCAAAACTCTTTCTTTATGGTTCAGATAAATATTTATGAATGTGTATTTCATGGCTTCAAAGCAGCTACTCAATTAATACCTTGTATTCCTGGAGTTAATATAATACTGTTGAGAGAAGCCAAAACTGAAGCTTTTTTCATGGATTGTTTATGAGCATCAATTTAAGAATGACTTTTTCTAATAGACAAGAAAAAAAAGAAGAATTTGATTTTGGAAACCAAGTAATCAAGAGTGATCAAGTGGGATGTCTGCTGTTTCCTTGGTTAGCGTGTGAGTGTGATATTTGAGTCATGTGGTGGGGTCGGGCCTTCAGAGACCACAGGATGATATAAGTCAGATGTGCATTCCGCCAGCACTTGCCCCATCCAACGTCATTCTCCTTTCAGTGTTACTCGTGGGCGTGTGTTTCTGCAGATGGAATGGTTCCTCACTGGCAATATTTGCTCCGGACTAATGTTCTGTCTTCTAAGGAGTGTCATTTCTAAGTTTATTTTTTAAATTCATTGTATGAATGTTCTTGGTTCCCATTTTGACCATTATGTATTTTTGGAAACTTTCTTTAGAAGTACATTTCTGCATTATTCATATGCTTCCCAGAGAAGCTCATTTCATTAGAAAAGGCAAATTTTAAAGCCTGCTGCTAATCTAAATGGGGAGAGCTAGCTAACCACAGAACTCATGGTAGGTTTGCTTGTCTTTAATACTTCAGTATGAAGGACTCGTAATTCCAAGTGAAAAAGTCATTTACAGGGTAGAGATACAGGCAGCCCATTTTATATTTGCACACCCTTTTATTTCCAAAATAAAAGTAACTCTTTTCCTTTGAAACAACTTCATTCCCCTATGCCTTTCATGTTATCTTGGCTTTCGTATCCAAGATGAAAATGTCAGTAAGAATGGAATTATTCTAAGGCCTTTTTCATTAACTGAGCCTCTTTTTAATTATTGTATTGGAGCTGGAACTAGGGTAGACTTGATCCCTGCATTCTGGACCTTAAACCTGCCTTTATTCCTAAGGTTAGATCATCTTGAGAGATACTTAAAATTTGTTCCGTTTCCTCGTTACTTGAAGAATGATGTTCTATGTGCTATTATTTGTGAGACCTGAAGACTATTTCAAAGCCAACTTTGTTGCCTTATTGTGCAGAGACTCTAGGTAGGTGCTTTTAACTAGTGTTGACTTTTTAAGAACAGAATAGCTAAACAGTGTTATTAATATTAAGACTGCAACACCTGGGCCGGGATAATGTTCCATAGTAGAGAGCTTGACCAGTGTTTGGAAGACCCTTGCTCAAGCACTAGCACTAAGAAGACAGTACCACAGAACTGACATAGAAGAAATAAAGGTAATAATAGGTCATTCCGTGCACCTTCCTTTACAGCTGGGGAGAGGAAAAGAACACTAAGGAGGAGAGGGAGGACTAAGGACTCCAGTTTTACATTTTGTTCACCCTCCGCACACCTTTCCTTTTAGCTCCATAGGAAGTTGATTGCCCAGAAACACAAAGTACTGTGTTTGAGAAAATTTTATTCTTTGTCTTTAAATATCATGTATTGTGGTACAATCAAATTGTTCACATTACCAAAGCAACATTTCCTTGGAATTTAATCTACAATTTGTGGCACTCAATCTGACCCTTCTTACCTGTCTAAATCAAGAATATGTTCACATCTTGCTATGTGGCCATATTTGTAGAATGCTGAACCCGATGTGCTGGTTGTACTGTGCACTTTTATGAAGAAGTGAAAATAATTTGTTGTACTTTTTATTCAATTCTGTATAGATTATAAAACTATTTTTATTAAATAAATATTTTACAGTATGTTTTCCCTTTTTACTCAAAATTATTTTGAGTTCATTTTTTGAAAGGAGCTTTACATCTATAAATCTCCTAAAGGCTTTCCTAGGACAACACTCATTGAAAGTTCGGCCATCTCACTTTCCCAGGTAACCCTCGGTCGCCCCGTTAACTCTTCCACAGCTGTGTGACCCTTTCCACTCTTCCCCGGGCATCTGTTGCAGCACCGACTGCGACGCTGGCTTCTCTACATCTCTCGTAGCTCTTTAAAGCATTCTCCTCTTCAGAAACTGAAACAGTCTCCAGTCCCTTTGCTAGCAGCTCAGAATTTTAAATGAAGGAAATCAAAGCCAAGACTGGAAATCTTGTTTTGAAACTCCATGGCCTCTTGGTTCCACCCCAGAGTATTCTGATACCCAGAGAGGCACCTTTGTTACACCAACTGCAAGACCAAATCAATCTCATCTCCAAGCCAGTCTCATTGTGCAGCATCCAAATGAAGAGTTTCCTTCTAGAGCCTGCTTGGTAGGGCCTTTCATTATCGCCAAAGGACCAGGGCATCTTTCATGCAAAGATTTCAGTAATAGTTTCTGCCACTGGGCTTTCTTCCCATGTATCTTAGCTGGCTTTCATATTTATAAGCCTTTGAGCAAGGGCTGTGTCTTATTTTTGTCATTTGTTGCACAACAAATATCCTGGTACTACATGAATGTTGAATTATACAAATGGTATTTGATAGACTCAGCCACCTGACGATACAATAATTGGCTAAATGCCCAACATTCTTTTAAGAAGGATGTCTTCATAAAATGTTAAGATTAAAATGACAATGTTGGGTATACTGGACACTTCAAAGTGTTGTGTTTGAATGGTAAAGCTAGATGATATCTATTTTTTTTTACTCATGACATCCTTATAGATAATGTCTTCCATTTCTTTAGCTCATTATCCTCAGAGGTGAACATTACTGACTCGTTCATTTTCTTCAGTAACGCTGTCAGGTGGGTTTTAAGTATTTGGTTTGCACTCTACGGAGCTTCTGCTTCCTGAGTTGCAAACAAGACGAAACCTCACCGGACTGTTAGGAAGAAATGGGAAAGCACATTTGAAAACAGCTCTGTCACAGGCACTGAGTATGTGGTTGAGAAATGGGCTCCGTGGCCCTTGTTTCCATTCACAATTAGTTTGTAGCTATCAACTTCAAAACTACTCCCAAACTGAATGTTTCAGTCAAAATGAAAGTCATTACAAATGATCCATGTTCCTCCTCCTGCTTATCGCTAATTCCTATTTTTCATTACTTCCTGGAATACAAAGGAAAAAAGCCATGGTTCTTACTATTAGATCACAGCCACTACAGATGTCTCTCTTGCCAAAAATCAGTACACATTTCTTGCAGCTTGATTGCTAGCCCTCCCAATCCCCATGTTCTGACAGAGAATTGCAATAAAAGTACTCTGTGCTGTGATCTTGTAAGCCCCTCCCTCTTGAGGCTGCAAGATAAATTTATGGTCCTGCCTAACACCTGCCTCTGTGCCCTCTGGCCTGTATGCTAGGCCAGGCTAGATCATGTGGTGGGAAGCTTGCTTACTCCCTTGAAACCTCTAAGAATCAGAAACCCCCATTTGTTCTCTGGACGCGAAGGGTTTGCGGCTCCCATCATTAGAGTCATTTGATCAGGTTTTCTGGAGATGGGAATGGTAAGTAATGAGGAGGTTCATCTCTAAGTGATGTGATCTGACAGCAGTGAATTAGGTTAATTTTTGAGTAGCTACTGAGATTGCTGGTTGAATAGCCATTGTAATTGGTCCCAGGTAGGTGAGGAGGGCCCTTCTTGATTTACAGCAGTAGAAATAGGAAAGGGGAGTGATTGGAGATTGGTAAATTAACAGTCTACAATGTGTGTTCATATTTAAAAGTGGCTTAGGAAATTGAAATATTTTCCCCTAAATCACACGTCCTGAAGTAGAGAAGCTAAGGCAGTTCTGATGCCCTCCCAAATCCTCTTAAGGTGACAGTCATTTCCCTCCCATCCCATTATGGAATATGCAGTAGGGACAAGCAGGGAGGAAGGTAGACCTGGCTAGGAAACAGTTCCATAGACGGGGCGATGCCAGGCTGGGGAAGAGCAAATGTCAGGGGATACACTGAGGATTTTAACACATCCAGAAGAGGAAATGGGCAGCTGGCAGAGAAGTCAGTAGCACTGGGGTCCAGGTCGTGGGGGTGAAGTGAGACAAAGTTACACCAACCCCCAAAGTGAATCTCATTGTCAAATCCCCGCAGCCGAGGCCAGCAGCTGGAGACCGGAACATACCTGATACATGCACAGTGGACTCAGGACTATCCTGGGCCTACTCATGAGTGGCTCATAGCCTCTCTCTCGCTCTAGACTATTTGTGGCTCCCTCCTCCACTGTGGGGGTTCTGACTACCTACTCCAGCCAGACAGCTCAGGCAGGGGAGACAGGACAGCTGGGGTCTGTTAATAAAAGCTCCAGGAATGAGTCAAATTGAGTGTTTTGAAACTTCTCCAAAACCCACCTTGAATGTGAGTGAAAGAAATCTTTGGGGAATGTTGGTTATACACCTCTAGCATTTTAAACTTTCATAGTATGAACCCATACATGGGACCCACCCTATGACATCATTTCTTACCAAATTCTCTCCCTTTAAAATAAGTCAGTCGGTGATGTGGGGGATGACAACAGACATTTCCAAACCATAATCTTACCCACTAAAAGTCACAAGAGGAATCATAACTAAAAATAAATAAAAACTCATCCCTCTGCTCAAATATTTGAGTTTGCTCACTTGTTTAATGAGTTTGCACCTTCTCTGTCCCTCTTTGAAATACCAAAGTTTGTGACTCAACTGTCAATATTCCCTCCAGAATGATCCCTACACTGAGAACTAACTTCAGATATTCTTGGAGTGCTGACATGAATGGACTATGAGATGTAGATTAGCATTCACAGATCCAGCACCTGAACCAAGAAACCTGATAGTGACATCTTGGCTGTGTCTAGTGCTTAGATGATCAGGAGGCCGTGTTCACAATGAGAAATCGTTCAAGCAACCAGCAAAAGATCGTCCAGCTCCAACAGTTAACTCCTGATTAGGTTTTGGATCCTCAGTTTCCCCCATACAGGTATTTCCTCTGCCTTTCAGGCTCATTGCCTGAGGTGTAAGCCTTGCTTGCCCCACGTCATGCCTTCAAAAAGAGATATGGCTGTGTTGGTGAGCGTGGTGGTGCATGCCTACAACCCCACCATTTGGGAGGCAGAGGCACAAAGGTGGCTGCAAGTTCATGGCCAGCTGGTTTACAGAGTTCAGGGGTGCAGAGTGAGACCATGTCCAAAAAGGTAGGCAGGCTAATGGGGAAAAGTCAACCATTAAACCAGGGATAAACAGCTTTGTTTTGGAATGAGAACAGGCAAAAGAGATCCCGAGACTGGAAAACATCAGCTGGGGGTTTGAAACTGTTTCAAGAACGTGGGAGTTGGTTCCACAGGAGAAGGGAACATCAAACACAGCAGGCTGAAAAAGGTTAGTGAGAGGCAGCATGCATTCTAGAGATAGGAGCGTGGAGGAAGCCCACTTCTACACGGTAATTCAAAACGCCTTCAACAGGATTCTTCAGCACTGCAGACAGAGGCCCTTTTCTTTTGGAGCTTGTGAGATGATGACCAAAACATTTTCTCGGGGATGCTTATATGCAGGGAGGGACTTTAGGGTCTTTTAAATGTCTACTGTTAGTGCCCAAAAGAGCTGGAGAAAGCATCAGGGAGAGAAGGGAAAATAAGAAATGTCGAGGGTGAGATGAAAACCTAGGGGAGAGGTGAACTTGGGGCCAGCGTTTCCAAGGTTACAAGCTGGGGCCTCTTCCTTGTCTGGAAGCTCCTTGCTGTGTCAAAACACAGAAGAAACAACAGAAATGGGGGGTAGATTGTCCTCTCACTCCGCCAGGACGGGCTGGAGGATCCTGAGTTTACATTTTAGACCAAGAAAGATTGTACGAAAGTCCAGCAGCTTATAAAAACCCATTCAGTGCTCTATTGCAGAAATACTGGCTTGCTACTGGGTGTTTCTGATTAATCAGATTGTGAATGTCTAATTATTTCAGAAACATCCAAACGTTGTAATGGGAACAAAACCCCTCCACTAATTCAAACACCTTTAATAAACAAGTTTGCTCCTTGCATAGAGAATGTATTTATTGCTAAAGAGTAATCAGTCTGCCGATTCTGCCGTCTCACAGTGTTTCTTTCCAAAATTTCAACCCTCTTTCATATCTGTTTCACATTAACTCCATGTTTAGTCCAAAAACAAAAATTAAAAGCAGAGACTATATTCAAGAATAACCATTCAACAATAACTGAGTGCTCAGAAATTTGTACTTGTTAGTATTTCTGTTTTCATAGTACTCTACGCTGAAATGATTTTATTTTCTTTTAAGTTCTTTAGGATTTAAAATGATGTCTCCATTCTCCCTTATGCAGGCACCAGGAAAGCACTGTATAATGATACTGACTCTCATCCTATTTGCATATCTCACTGTTCCACTAAGGCTACTCCAGAACAGTGGTCTGGATTCCTGGTATAGTTGACCTGAGTAGCTTTCCTTTTCAAAGTAAACCTATAAATAAATCTCTGTATTAGCATACATAGATTATACAAAACAACGGGTTTCCTTATGACAGTTTCATACAGCACATTGAAACATTTTCATGATGTACTTCATCACATTCACCTCCCATGATCTTTTCGTATCTTCCTCCCCCGCCACCACCACAATCACTGGTCCCCTTCCTTCCCCCTAACAGCCCCCTTCTACTTTCATGGGTTTTTTTTTTCTTTTACTTAAGTCTAAATTCCACATAGGAGGGAAAATACGTGTTAAATTTATCTTCCTGAGTCCGTCTCATTCTACTAATAGGATGACCTCCAGTTCCGCCCATTTTCCTGCAAATAATGTAATTTTGTTCCTCTTTCTACCTGAATAAAACTTCCTTGTGAAGAGAT